ACATGGTCTTTGCTGTGTGTGCATATGTCCTTGCTGTCCCTTCTGTGTGTCTGAATTTCCTCTTATAAGGACGCCTGTCAGATAGAAATAGTGTTGTGGGACAATGAGGGCAACCCGGGTTCTTGTGTCAAATTGAGAATTTCCACGCAGTGAGCCAGTGAGGTGTGTTGAAGGCAGTATACCTGCTACAGCGGTCAGGAGGGGACTCCAGAGGGCGGATTGCCAGAGAAGCTCTCAAGTACTGCTCTTTTATATACAAAGTGGCCCCTTTCTAAAAAAGTCTGGATTTAACCAATCAGGCGAGGGGCAGGATGACAAGCAATCAGGAGGCAGGGACGTTATTTCACACACAGCTGAGATACTTAGAAGAGTACACTTTGATTTTTCCCTCTCCTTTGTGCTGTTTTGTTAAATATTTTCTGTTTTTAAAAGATTTGTGGCCGGCGCCACAGCTCACTAGGCTAATCCTCCGCCTAGCGGCGCCGGCACACCGGGTTCTAGTCCCGGTTGGGGTGCCAGATTCTGTCCCGGTTGCCCCTCTTCCAGGCCAGCTCTCTGCTGTGGCCAGGGAGTGCAGTGGAGGATGGCCCAAGTGCTTGGGCCCTGCACCCCATGGGAGACCAGGAGAAGCACCTGGCTCCTGGCTTCGGATCAGCGCGATGCACCGGCCGCAGCGCGCCGGCTGCAGCGGCCATTGGAGGGTGAACCAACGACAAGAAGACCTTTCTCTCTGTCTCTCTCTCACTGTCCACTCTGCCTGTCAAAAAATTTTTAAAAATTTAAAAGAAGATTCGTTTGGGGCTGGTGCTGTGGTGTAGCGGGTAAAGCCACAGCCTGCAACACTGGCATCCTATATGGGTTCTTGTTCAAGGCCCAGCTGCTCCATTTCCAATCCAGCTCTCTGATGTGGCCTGGGAAAGCAGTGGGAGATGGCCCATACACCTGTGTGGGAGACCTGGAGGGAGCTCCTGGCTCCTGACTTTGGATTGGCCCAGCTCCAGCCGTTGCGGCCAGTTGGAGAGTGAACCAGCGGATGGAGGACCTCTCTGTCTGCCTCTCCTTCTCTCTCTGTGTAATTCTGACTTTCAAATAAATAAATAATCTTAAAAGATTCATTTATTTATTTATTTGAAAATCAGTATTATAACGAGAGAGGGAGAGAGACAGATTTTCTACCTGCTGGTTCCCTCCCCAAATGGCCACAACAACCAGGGCTGGCCAGGCCAAAGCCAGGAGCCAGGAGCTTCATCCAGGTCCCCCTTTTGGATACAGAGGCCCAAGAACTTGGGACATTTTCTGCAGTTTTCCCAGGCACATTAACAGGGAGCTAGATTGGAAGTGGAGCAGCTGGGATTCGAACCACTACCCACATTGGATGCTGGTGCTGCAGAGAGCAGCTTAACCTGCTGCAGTACAGCACCGGCCCCTATACATCTTATTTTTATATATGTTATAAATTCAACCTATTGGTTTTTCTGTTTTAAATAATTGTCTTATTTATTTATTTTATTTGAAAGAGCTACACAGAGAGAGAAGGAGAGGCAGAGAGAGAGAGAGAGAGGTCTTCCATCCACTGGTTCACTCCCCAGTTGGCTGCAACGGCCAGAACTGCACCGAACTGAAGCCAGGAACCAGGAGCTTCCTCCAGGTGTTCCCACGTGGGTGCAGGGGCCCAAGGACTTGGGCCATCTTCTGCTTTCCCAGGCCATAGCAGAGAGCTGAATCAGAAGTGGAACAGCCAGGACTTGAACTAGTGCCCATAAGGGGTGTTGGCACTGGAGGCGGCAGCTTTACCCACCACGCCACAGTACTGGCCCCTAGATAATTAAAGAAATTAAAAATGGGGGAACAGCATTGTGGTACAGTGGGTTAAACAGCCACCTGCAACACCACATCCCATTACGACTGCTAGTTTGAGTTCCAGCTGTTCCACTTCCAGTGCAGCTGCCTACTGTTGCGCTTGGGAAACAACAATAGATGGCCTAAATGCCTGGGTCCCTGCCACTCCAGGTGGAGTTCCTGCCCCTGGCTTCGGCCTAGCCCATCCCCAGCTGTCGTGGCCATTTATGAAATGAACCCGCAGATGGAAGATCAATATCTATCTCTCTCTCTCTCTCTCCCCCCTCCTCCCTTTCCCTCTCCCTCCTCCCTCCCTCCCTGTAACTCTGTCTTTCAAACAAATAAAGTAAACCTTTACAACAGGCGCATTCTCCTATTTTAAAAAGTGCTTGTTTGTTACCATATGTGGCACTGTTTCTCCCTGTGTAGATCCAGAGTCCCATCTTGTTTGGCTTTCTCTCAACCTGGAGAACTCCTTCAGCACTGTTTGTAGCGTGCATCTGCTGGCAGTTTTAAATCTCTTGCCTTTTTCTTCTTGTCTGAATCAGTATTGCAACTTCATTTTTAAAGATATTTTTGTTTAGTGTAGAATTCCAGATAGCCAGTGTTTTCTTTTGGTGCCTTATAGATGCCTCCATCATGTTGTGACTTGCTGTCCTGGGATGAAAAGTACTGTTGCGGGGGTCTGTTCTTTCACGGATCATGTGTCATTTGTCCCTTCTGGCTGCTCTCAGATTTCCCCTTTAGGACTGGTTTTAGTAATTTGTTTATGATGTGCCATGATCTGTTGGTTTTTCTTTTGAGTGTTTGTTGTGTATAGGATTCATGGGACATCTTGCATAGGTGGGCTTATAGTCTTCATCAAAATTGGAAATGTCTGTGGCCATTATTTCTTCAAATATTTCTCCATGTCCCTCACCCCTTTTCAGAGATTGCAGTTTCACACATATTGGCTCAGTTGATGTCCCAAAGTGAAGCTCTGGGTTGTTTGTTTCAGTCTTTCTGTTTGTATTTTTGTAGTGCCGGTATTTTCTATTACTGTGTTTCAGGTTTCCTTATGTTTTGTTGATTGTATAATCTATTAATTCAATCCCATGCATTTTTCATTTGGGACATTGGTTTTCTCATCTCTAAAAGTAGATTTGATTCACTCTTTTTAAAGATTTATTTATTTATTTAAAAGGCAATGAGAGAGAGAGAGAGAGAGATTGTCTGTCTATTGGGTCATTCCCTAAATGGCCATGATGGCTGGAACTGAGCCAGGCTGAAGCCAGGAGCCTGGAGCTCCATCTGGGTCTCTTGTGTGGGTGACAGGGGCCCAAGTACTTGGGCCATCTTCCACTGCCTTTGCAGGCACGTTAGCAGAGAGCTGGCTCAGGAGTGGAACAGCCAGACGTGAACCAGCCCACGTATGTGATGTTGGCGTCGCAAGTGGCAGCTTAACCTTCTGTGTCACAATGCCATCTCCTTGATTTATTTCTACATCTTCAATTTCTCTTCATTGTTTTCCCATTTTCCTCAGCATAGGCATGAATTTAAATATCCATTTTAGTATCATATCAGCTAATTCGCCCCCACCCTCCTAGATTTGCCTTTCTCAGTTGATTTGTCTCCTGCCTAGGGCTCACTTTTCCCATGCTGCTCTTCACCTATTTTGGTGGTGCTTGTCCGGCCACAGGTAGTTTCCCGGGGTACATGCACAGAGCAGTACCCAGCCCCGGTGTGGGCAGCAGCAGCAGCTCTTCAGAATAACACTTCACAGGTGCCTGTGGCCCTGCCTCCCTGCAGGGTTATAACCATGTTGGGATTTTTGTGGACCCTTTGTATTTTTACTATTCAGAAGTTTTGGTTTGAGTTATTTTTCCTCCTTCCCTACACAGGTTCAAAACAGGGCACAGGTCTTATGAGAGAGATTTTTGCACCCTTGTTTCCCAAGTTTCACAAGCTTGCACGAGATTGCCTTTTTGACCCCAGCCACTTTGTGCAGCGTGACTCTCACAGACTTTTTTTTTTTTTTTTTTTTTTTGACAGACAGAGTGGACAGAGAGAGAAACAGAGAGAAAGGTCTTCCTTTTGCTGTTGGTTCACTCTCCAATGGCCACCACGGCCGGCGCACCGCGCTGATCTGAAGGCAGGAGCCAGGTGCTTCTCCTGGTCTCCCATGGGGTGCAGGGCCCAAGCACTTGGGCCATCCTCCACTGCGCTCCCTGGCCACAGCAGAGAGCTGGCCTGGAAAGGGGCAACCGGGACAGAATCCGGCACCCCGACCGGGACTAGAACCCGGTGTGCCGGCGCCACTAGGCGGAGGATTAGCCTATTGAGCCGCGGCGCCAGCCCTCTCACAGACTTGATTGAGAGCCTGGCAGGTGTCTGTTCCCAGCCCTGTAATTCTGTCCTTGGGGCTGTTGGGAGCCCTGCTCGTTAATCTCCTGCCTTAACTAGGAACTCAGTTGCATGTTTATTGCAGCCCCTTCCTCCGCTTTGTGTACTAAGCATTGTGATGCCACCACGGGAGACAGCGCCCTGCCTTTCGGACGCAGCCCCTTCAGCCTTCTGCAGTGACTTAGAACGTCGCACATGTTCACAGGGAAAGCTGGCCGTGCACTTGCTTTCTTCTAGCTTCTCATCTGGAGCATATGACCACCAAACACTCAGATGGTTTCACGTTTCCCCAGTCGGAGCCCTCTGCTCAAGGCAACTCCAGCCGTTAGTCCAAGCCCCGACACACGTCGCATACACCAGAAAGAAATGGCCAGCAGTCACTGGCTGCTCTTCCTGCACAGGCGCTTCCTGTGCTGTAATTTTAGTTCACGTATTTGTGTCTCCACAGCTCTCCGATGTCTTTACAAATGGCTTCGCATCCTACCGTGTTTTGGTTTTCTTTTCCCCAGTGTTGCAGGGAGAGAACAGGCTGCACTACATCCTACTCAGAAGTAAAAGTCAGACTGGAATTCCTGAGTTCTTATCTGTGACCAGCTGGTACTCCTTTGCTCAGTGTATGTTCTTTCGTTGAGTCTGTAGTTCATAACTGCGACCAGCCTGTCTCCAGTCCAGAATGCAAAGCTGTGCTGGAGCCTTCACCTTGGCCGCCTGGCTGTTTCCCCGCCTGGGACTGGTCTCAGCCCGATTTGCATTTGAGTCTGCTACATTCGTTTTCACAGGACCAGGACTGAAGCCTCCAGAGGAACGGACAATCGAGTACCTGGAAGAAGTTGCAGTTTCTTTTGCCAAAGGATTAGCTGATAAGAAGATCTCTTCAAAGAGAAACAAGGGATTGATGGAAAGTGAGTGTCACTGTTCCAAACAAAGGCAAAGCTTCCTTCCTGGGAGTTTAGTTTTATTTGCTATAGATTGAAAATGAGCAAGAGGCAAATGTGTCATTTACTCAAAACATAAAGCCAACCCTAAGTGGTATAATAATTTGATTCTAGGATCAAATTCTCAGCCTTTTACGGGCCAGTTAAAACCAGTTTTGGAAACTTCATTTTGAAAAGTTTTAAATATTAATACAGAAATAGAATAGTGTGACAGTGTAATGAACACCCATCTACCCAGGCCAGCTTTAGCCTTTATCAGCTAATTACAGCATGTGTGGAGGAATGCTTAGGTCGGTGTTTAGATTGTATCAGAGTAAAGAGCAGTTCCTTCTGATAGCTGGACCTACTGCTTGTTGGTGCGGTTTGCAAGGCTAACAAGGAAGGGCAGGCCCTTTCCAGGAAGTGTCTGAAAGCATTTTACCTTACAGAATTGACATCGTACGCCATGACCATTCCATTTGTCAGGCAACAGATTTACAAAAAGGTGGAAGAACAAGTGCAAAAGCAGACGAAAGGCCTTTATCCTGCGCCTCTGAAAATCATTGATGTGAGTCTTACCCTGGGCCCCCACTTTCCTGCATTCCCTCCCTTTGTGAAGGGAAATGCTGTGTGTGTCAGACTGCAGTTCTTTCCTTTTTTTTTTTTTTTTAATTTTATTTATTTATTTGAGAAGTAGAGTTACAGACAAAAGGAGAGACAGAGAGAAAGGTCATCCATCTGCTGGTTCACTCCCCAAATGGCCGCAACGGCTGGAGCTGTGCCGATCCAAAGCCAGGAGCTTCTTCCGAGTCTCTCCTATGGGTGCAGGGGCCCAAGCACTTGGGCCATCTTCTACTGCTTTCCCAGGCCACAGCAGAGAGCTGGATCGGAAGAGGAGCAGCCGGGAATAGAACCAGCACAGGATTAACCTACTGCGCCACGGCGCCTGCCCCATGCAGTTCTTGTTCCTGCTACTACAGTTAGTGAGCTAAAAGGGCTCATAGAAAGTGATACATATGGGAGAGATCAGTGCTAAATATATTCACTGATTGATGGGTAAGAAAGTAGGAAAGGGACCTAAGTCATACCAGTGTAACGGGCAGGAAAACACTGGGCACTGATGAAGAAGTCATTGAAACAAGATTGGGGGGTGTATTCTGTCCTTAGTCAAACCTTGTCAGTACCTGAAATCTCTCAAGAACTTCCCCACTGCTGTAATTAGTAAAACGGTGTGATGGTGTAGAGAAGGTGTGAAAAGGATCAAGAACAATTAAAAATGCTTACAGGGTGGAGAAGCCTCTCCCTAATGGTGGACTTCAAACTGTAGAGCGCCTCAGTCTAGAAAGTCCAGGATTAAGAGAGCATATAATCCGAGACTTCTGATTGGAGTATGGGTTGGTTGACGAGTTATTTTGAGCAGAAGACGCTGGAGTACATAAACTATGCAATGTGACCCCTCTGTAGTCACCTCCCAGGCCAGGCTGGGGAGATTAGAAATGCCCATTCCACCATCAGGGCCGAGGGACATTGCCTAGTGCACAGAGGAGGAAGCACTCCTGTGAGCCACAGAGATTGGGACGAGCCTCAGGGGAGCTGATCCGAGCCCCGGAAAATGGGCAGAGGAGGGCAGGCAGAGGAAGGTAGTGCCATGGCCACTTGGGTGGGCAAGCTGAGCAAAGTTAAGGCAGCTGGAAAACTCGATGCTCTTCAAGGAGCATTTAGTGGGGCCGGTGTTGAAAGGGATTAGTGGGATGGCAGTCTCCGGAATCCTAGTAAAGCAGGAGTTCAGAAAGGTGGCAAAAGTGAATCGACACATTTGCCTTTGTCCTGTATTGCTATAAAGAGCCATTTTCATGGTGCAGTGAGTCAAAACAAATGAGGAGAGACAAAATAGAACCTGAATTAGCAAACTGTGTTGGTAATTTAGGCTTGAAGTTTGAACAAGACCCTGAGGTGTAAAAGTAAAAATAGGAAGATAGCAAGAAACCTCCCAAAGAGAGATTGTGAGTTAAGTTTAGCTGTATATTCAGTTTAGATGTTTCAGGGAATTCCAGCGACATGGTTCAGACAGAGAGGCTAAATTAGGATATAGATTTGCTTGGTATTTATTTATTTATTTATTTTTGACAGGCAGAGTTAGTAAGAGAGAGAGACAGAAAGGTCTTCCTTCCGTTGGTTCACCCCCCCCCCCCCCCCAAATAGCCGCTACGGCCGGTGCTGTGCCGATCCGAAGCCAGGAGCCAGGAGCTTCCTCCTGGTCTCCCATGCGGGTGCAGGGCCTAAGCACTTGGGATTTGCTTGTTTTTTAATTTGTCATTCCCATAAATTATAGTGCTTGGGTACAGGGTTACTTCTTTGTCTTTTATACTTGCATTGTAGTTAGGATAGCACTTACCCTGATGGCAAGCTGCACTTTGGCGTTCATGACTGATGAGTTAAACTGGGTCGTGGATGTGAGAGGAGGAAAGCTCACAGAGAGGAAGAGGCAGAAAGAAAGTGGAAGATGAGCATCTGCCTGCACAAGAGTAGCAGGGAAGCGGGAAGAGGAACGTGAGCTTTCTCTTTCCTTCTGTTTCCGTTTTCTGCTTAAAATGTGGCCTTGGAGATGGAGAACTAAGTCTCAAGCGACCACTCAGTCCCGCTCCTTCTCAGCAAACCTCGACGTCTTCTCCACAGACTGGCCACACGGACAGTCTCCTTCAGCCTGTGGCACATGTCGCCACCTGTGCTAGCACTGAATAGTATTTTCAATGTTTTGTAGGTGGTCAAGACTGGAATTGAGCAGGGAAATGATGCTGGTTACCTCGCCGAATCTCAGGTAAAGTTGCTTCCTCCCAACTTTTTATTAGAAGTTACAGGAAAAGCAAAGATCCAGTGCTTGCTCTATTTAAAGCCAAATACAGAAAAAAAAATCTTAAGCCTAACAAAATTTTTTTTCTTCCAGTGCCTATGATTTCTTACGATTTTTCTCAGTGAGCAAGGAGATGAGGAGACTGTGGTGATCTGCAGATGGTTGAACTAACTCTCTCTCTAAGATTTATTTATTTGAAAGGTAGCATTACAGAGAGAGAGAGAGAGAGAGAGAGAGGGAGGGAGAATCTTCATCCATTGATTCACTCCTCAAATGACCACAACAGCCGGGGCTGGGCCAGGCCAAATCCAGGAGCCTAGAACCCTGTCCAGGTCTCCCACATGGATAACAGAGGCCCAAGCACTTGGTCCATCTTTCACTGCTTTCTCCAGCACACTAACAAGGAGCTGGCTCAGAAGCAGAGCAGGGGCCAGCGCTGTGGCGTAGCAGATAAAGTTGCCGCCTGCAGTGCAGCAAAGTCCCAACTGCTCCTCTTCCGATCTAGTTCCCTGCTATGGCCTGGGAAAGCTGTGGCAGATGGTCCAAGTGCTTGGGCCCCTGCACCGTGTGGGAGACCCAGAAGATGCTCCTGGCTTTGGATCAACGCAGCTCCAGCCGTTGTGGCCAATTGCGGAGTGAACCAGCAGATGGAAGACCTCTCTCTCTCTCACTCTCACTCTCACTCTGCACCTCTGCCTCTCCTCTCTCTGTGTAACTCTGACTTTCAAATAAATAAATAAATCTTAAAAACAAAAAAAAAAAATGTGGAGCAGCCTGGACTTGAACTTGTGCTCACGGGACGCAGGTGTTGCAGGTGATGGCTTAACCTGCTGCACCATGACACCAGCCCCTGAACTTGCTCTCTGTTTTGAGGCTGTAACGAAAAAGAACAGGAATGGTTATCATCATTTCAAAATGAATTACTTGGTTATTTTGTTTGTTTTAAAGATTTATTTATTTATTTGAAAGGCAGAGTTACAGAGAGGCAGAGGCAGAGAGAGAGAGGTCCTTCATCCCCTGGTTCACTCCCCAGATGGCCACAACAGCTGGAGCTGCGCCGATCCAAAACCAGGAGCCGGGAGCTTCTTCTGAGTCTCCCACGCTGGTGCAGGGGCCCAAGCACTTGGGGCCATCCTCCACTGCTTTCTGAGGCACATGAACAGGGAGCTGGATTGGAAATGGAGCAGCCCTTATGGGATGCCAGCATTGCAGGCCAAAGCTTTACCCGCTACGCCACAGTGCTGGGCCCAGCTTGTTTCAAAGCTTTAAACTATCTTTGGAAATTAAAAAATAGGATGAAAGGTATCAGGACAGATTGCATAAAACCATTTCTTTTTTTCTTTTTCTTTTTTTTTTTTTTAGATTTAATTTATTGATTTGAGAGGCAGAGTTACAGACACAGAGAGGCAGAGACAGAGAGGAAAGTCTTCCATCCGCTGGTTCACTCCCCAAATGGCTGTAAAGCTGGAGCTGGACCAGTTGGAAGCCAGGAGTCAGGAGCTTCTGCCAAGTCTCCCATGCAGGTGCAGGGGATCAAGGACTTGGGCCCTCTTCTACTGCTTTCTCCCGGCCATAGCAGAGAGCTGGATCGGAAAAGGAGCAGCCAGGGCATGAACTGGCACCCATATGGGATGCCGGTACTGCAGCTGGGGCTCTCACCTGTACCGCAGCACCGGCCCCGATGTGCCTCTCTCTTTCAAAAGCTTGTGTGCTACAGCACCAGCCCCAGAAAGCCGTTTCGTAGGCTAGATCATTTCTTGTGCATGTCTGGTTTTCCCAGCATCATAACCAGGCACACATATGCAGATGCACAGAGAACGTGAAAGCATAAGCACTAGTCCATAAGAGCCCTCCCTGGTGTGCTGGGTTCTGTGCTTTCAGGGCACGGTGGGACTTCTGTATCATCCTGGGGCCCTCATCCGCAGTCAGCCAACTCTGGAGGGAAAATCGGGTCTGCACTAGAAATGCAGACTTTCCTTTTTCTTGTCATTACTCCCTAACCACCGTAGTGAAATAACTATTTACACAGCATTTACCTTGTGTTAGATATTGTAAGTAATTAGAGATTAAGTATATGGAAGGATGTACATAGGTTATGTGCCACTGCTGTGCCATTTTATAAAAGGGACTTGAGCACACTCATGGAGGGAGGTGTCCTGGATCCAGTCCCCCATGGATCCAAGGTGACTGCTGCTTTTCAGAACGTACGTGATGCGTATCACAGCCTACTGGATTCATGACCACGAGGGGATGCATGCCCACAGTTTGGGAAGCAGTGGTTCATTGGATAGACTCTGCTCTGTCAAGATTAGTGAAGCATGGATTCTGTGGAAGATTACTCCGTGTTCTGTTGAGGCGTGAAAGCAACTGTATTGTGGCGATTCCTTCTTGGCAATGCTGTTTGTGACGTGTCCTCTCAGCAGTAACATGTAGCCAGCCTCAAGACCCAGTCATTTACTCTAGGCCCTCTCAGTCTCAGCAGTGACGCTGTAAAGTAAGTGTGACGTTTCCCATTGTAAGGATAAAGGAGGCTTCACAGTGGGGAGATGGCAGAGCCAGGAGTCAGACTCCGCTCCCAGCCTTATGCTTTTAACCACTAAGCTGAGGTTCATTCTCCGTAAATGTTCAGGCACTTTTATTTGGGGAGTGGGGGGTAGATTTCCCATCCACTGGTTCACTTCCCAGATGCCTGCAACAGCTGGAGCTGGGCTGGGGCTGAACCTGGGAAGCAGGAGGGCAGTCTGATTCTCTGTGTGGGTGGCGGGAACCCAGTTACTTAAGCCTTCATTGCTGTCTCCCAGGATATGCATCGGCAAGAAGCTGGAGTCAAAACCGGAGCTTGGGGCTGGCATTGTAGCGCTGCAGGTTAAACTGCTGCTTGAGGCACACACATCCCTTAGTAGGGTGCCAGTTTGAGTCCTGCTAATGCACCTGGGAGGCAGTGGATGATGGCTCAAGTGTTTGAGCCCCTGCCACCCACATGGGATACCTGACATTTGGGGAGTGAACCAGCAGATGGGAGATCTCTGCCTCTTTCTCTCCCTCTGTCTCTCTGTCTGTCTGTCTCTCTCTCTCTCTCTCTCCCTGTGCCACTCTGCCTTACAAATTTAAAGAAAAAAAAAGAGCTGGAACCATGACTCATTATTCTCAGCTACCCCGATGAGGGATGCATGCCGTCTTTCTTTTTTTTTTTTTTTTTTAATTTATTTATTTGCAAGGTAGGGTTATTCAGAGAGAAAAGGAGAGGCAGAGAGAGAGAGGTCTTCCATCCGCTGGTTCACTCCCCAGTTGGCTGCAACAGCTGGAGCTGCACTGATCCGAAGCCAAGAGCCAAGAGTTTCCTCCTAGTCTTCCCACGTGGGTGCAGGGGCCCAAGGACTTGAGCCATCTTCTTCTGCTTTCCCAGGCCATAGCAGAGAGCTGGATCAGAAGTGGAGCAGCTGGGACTAGAACCAGAAACCATATGGGATGCGGGCACTGCAGGCGGTGGCTTTACCCGCTGCGCCACAGCCCTGGCCCCGCATGCCATCTTAACCACTGGGCTAAATGCCCGCTCCTAAGGTATCTTTTAAGTGGCAGGTGTCATATTGGGCAGCCTGCAACAGTGAGAGAGCTGGAGCTAGGAGTCTTACTGCTGGATGCAAGTTCTGTTTCTGCCACTTAGGGTCAGTGTGGCTTTGAGCAGAGTCACTCTGAGCCTTTTTTCCCAGTCTGAAATGAGGAGTTGTTTGAGGTGACTGTGAAGGCCCGCTTCGGTGCTGACTAATTCTATGAAAAGGTTGCCACACCTCTGTTATAAAGAGTCAGGACAGGGGCTGGCGCTGTGGCGCAGCGGGTTAACGCCCTGGCCTGAAGTGCTGGCATCCCTTATGGGCGCCAGTTCAAGTCCCGGCTGCTCCTCTTCTGATCCAGCTCTCTGCTACAGCCTGGGATAGCAGTGGAAGATGGCCCAAGTCCTTGGGCCCCTGCACCCACATGGGAGACCTGGAAGAAGCTCCTGGCTCCTGGCTTCGGATCAGCACAGCTCCGGCCATTGCGACCATCTGGGAAGTGAACCAGCAGATGGAAGACTCCTCTCTCTGTCTCTACCTCTTTCTGTAACTCTGTCTTTCAAATAAATAAAATAAATCTTTAAAAAAAAAAAAAAAAGAGTCAAGGCATTCAGAAAGTGTTCCACATTGGAAGTGTGAGGCAAGGACACTTCTGTGGGAGACAGAGACGCCGCTGCAGCACAGACCCACCCCTCCCGAGAACCCCTGGGAAACAGCTCTGTGTGCCTCTGCTCTGCAGAGAAAACCAGCTGAGGAAGCCACCTCACCCAAACTGAAGTCCTGCCCTTCTCTCGTTCCCTTTTGCGTTTCAGAAATTTGGAGAACTTGCAATGACCAAAGAATCAAAGGCCTTGATGGGACTTTATCATGGTCAAGTCCTATGCAAGAAGAATAAATTTGGAGCTCCGCAGAAGGAAGTCAAGTAAGTTCGACACCTCAGAAGCGCTGTGGATTTGTGTGCACGGTCTTTGACGATTCCCAGAACTAGGCCCGCTTGGTAACTCAGTCTTGCCCTGCCCTGTCCCACGCACATCTGAGCACTTAATCCCACTGGTGTAGGCTTGGGGGCTGCTGGCTGGGCTGCAGGTTCTCCCTCCGCACATGGAAGCATTCGAAGCTGGAGGCATAAAGCTGTACAGAGAGCAGGATTTCCGTGGAGCAAAACAAAAAAGTACAAGTTCAAGAACCAAGCCATGCACAAACAAAAATTCCCAAAGGCCTCAAGGAGAACCCCTTTCCTAGGAACAACTGCTGACAGTGAAAAAGCCCCATCAGCAAGGTTAGGCTTCGGGGCAGGGGAGGTCGAGTCTGGGGTGGGGCTCTTTGGAATATTCAGAAGAGGACGGAGCTAGGAGCAGGGTATAAGCACCGCCCAGTTCTGTGTCCTTCTTGGGAAATAGCAGAAATACCGTGGCATTGGATGCATGAGAGGAGTGGTAACTTCATTATTATTTAATGTATTTATCCATTATCCATGGTCATTTTATTGTATTGACGGTTTAATGACCTGAAAGCCATGGGGGAGGAGGGACTCCTGCTGCAGCCATGTTGGACGTTTCCAGCTAGTGCTGGTTGTGGCTTGGCAGCATTGTGGATCTTGGCAGTTTCTGCACCCAGGAAGGAAAAGGAGCCTGGGTGGTGCACAGAAGGAGACCTGTCATACAGGCCAGGCCAGGCTGTCATATGGGCCAGCTGCCACTGTCCAATGGCTGATCAGCCACAACCATCAAAATGCAAATCTTGCGACGCCGGCACACCGGGTTCTAGTCCCGGTCGGGGCGCCGGATTCTGTCCCGGTTGCCCCTCTTCCAGGCCAGCTCTCTGCTGTGGCCAGGGAGTGCAGTGGAGGATGGCCCAAGTGCTTGGGCCCTGCACCCCATGGGAGACCAGGAGAAGCACCTGGCTCCTGGCTTTGGATCAGCGCGGTGCGCCGGCCACAGCGCACCAGCTGTTGTGGCCATTTGGGGGGTGAACCAATGGAAAAAGGAAGACCTTTCTCTCTATCTCTCTCTCTCTCACTGTCCACTCTGCCTGTCCAAAAAAAAAAAAAAAAAAGGCAGATCTTCATCCTGGGGAAATGGGGTTCAGGTTTCTTGAAAGTCAGCCCTTGACACAGTGTTTGTAACAAAAAAAGAAAAGATAACAACATTAAGAAAACAAACAACAACAAAAACAAATTTCTAAATGCAGACCTGGAGCTGTGATCTCTGACCCCTGTGGGGCTGCCAGGAGCAGGAGCTGTTAACCCAGGTTGGCTGGGGCTGTCAGTTACCAGCCCCCGCTGGCACATGGTTCTGCTAGGAGCTGTCAGTCATCAACCTACGCTGGCCTCAGCTCCTCCCCTAGCCACCTACATTCCCCCAACTCGACCAAGAAGTGTCTTGGCTTTCAAAGTTCTGGGGTTTCTCCAAACCCCTCTAGGGAGTCCTACAGAGGCATTCTTGCCTCATAGTGATGGCTCCTACATACTTGGTTTTGGTCTCCCTTCCTACACAGATACACAGCTTTTGCAGTGTTCAGTGACCTTCTGTCCCCATGACTTGAAATGCTGTCTTGGAATCTGACAGCATAAAGCCTCACTGCGATTGGTAAAGGCTTGTCCTCCTCTCAGCCTGCAGCCTGAGCATCGGAGAGCCTGCTTGCTGATTTCATGTCTGATCTCATCAGAGGCCTTTCTCAGCAGAACACTGCCTGGTAGCTGTGCAGGGTCTGAGGTTTAGTGGTGCCCCAGGCTCACCACCGATCTCAGTGATTCAGCATGGATAATTTGACATTTGCCTCCGTGTGTGGATGTTTTTGGTTGTTACAAGTGGGAAGAGAGGAGTACTACTGGCATTTAGTAGTTAGAGTCACCAAACACTCTGTGTCACGTAGGGTGGCCTTCGGTGAAGACTTATCCAGGCCAAATGTCATAGCATCAGGTAGCTGAGTTACTGTGAAGGGTTTAAGAGAGTGCTTAGTAGGAGCTTCTCCATCTTCTCACCTGTAGTGAGATTACAACCCAAAGTAGACAATAACATGGATAAGAAGCCTGGGAGAGACAAGGTAAGATTCTGGACTAGAGGCCTGGTTTCCGTGTGGACTGGAGTCCAGCCATAATTAGTTCTCCAGCTTACTTCGTGGTTAGTGTTGGTCAGAGCCAGTTGCGGCTCTTCCGCCTAACACTGACTGGCGTTCCATAGGTGGGGTAAATGACTGCTGTGGTGCACTTAAATCTGTTTCTCATCGCCCATTCACAAAAACCAACCAGATTAATAAGGAAGACAAAGCCACCTCTTCACCATGCACTCCCTAAATGCTACTAACTTCTGATTATGTAAGAGGAGAATTTATTGTGATGGGAAAGAAAGTAAAAAACAAAAATATTAGAGACCGGCAGAGTCACAGAAGTCCAAACATACCAACCCCTACCCCACCACCGTACCTTTCCCTGTCCCCCACAGACACAACACTGTCAACTGAAGACACTGCACGTCACGGCAGAGAGCGCACCGGAATCTGAGAAGCCTGGTTAGCAGCTTCAGGGTGCTGCTTCCATCCGCGTGTGCCGCTCACTGCTGCAGGCAGATGAGATACGATACCAAAACAAAAAGGCAGCATCCTCATCAAGTAATATAAGAAGTATTTTTATAGAGGAAAATTATTTGAAATAACCCTCTGTGTCTGCTGTAGTTGGCTTATTGGATGATAATGGGTGCCACATCCCCTTTTACTGAAATCAGTCATTTATCAAGCTTTTATCCTTTCCTTTCAGGCAGCTCGCTATTCTTGGGGCAGGGCTGATGGGAGCCGGCATTGCTCAGGTCTCTGTGGACAAGGGATTGAACACCATCCTTAAAGATGCGACACTAGCCGGGCTGGGCCGAGGACAGCAACAAGTGTTCAAAGGGTAAGCCTGCTCTCTGGTTTTGCCAGGAGTAGAATGCTTTGAGGGTCTTGTCTGTTTGATTTGGTCTTCATTTTTATCATTGCAAATTCCTTTTCTTTTTTTTAAAGATTTATTTATTTATTTGAAAGGCAGAGTTAGAGTGTGAGGTCTTCCATCCACTGCCAAATGACCACAATGGCTGGAGCTGTACCAATCCGAAGCCAGGAGCCCGGAGCTTCTTTTGGGTCTCCCACGCGGTTACAAGGGCCCAAGGACTTGGGCCATCTTCCACTGCTTTCCCGGGCCATAGCAGAGAGCTGGATCAGAAGTGGAGCAGCCGGGACTCAAACTGACACCCCAGGTGGGATGCTGGCATTGTAGACGGCAGCTTTACTCACTATGCCACAGCGCCAGCCCCAACACAAATTTATTTTCTTGAACACACTGGCTCCTCCAGATTTAAGCCAAGTTTCTTTTGATTTTTAGAAATGCCAATTCCTTCTTTGACTTCATCCTGTTTTGTAGCCTTTTAACATGTTTGGCGTCTGTAGTCTTTGCAGAAAGGAAAACCTCATCTAATTTGGTCTTTATATTTTTTTATTTTAGTTTTTTAACTTATTTTTTAAGATTTCTTTATTAATTTGAGAGGCAGAGTTACAGAGAGAGGGAAAAACAGAGAGGAATTTTTTTTTAACTTTTTAAAAAGATTGATATATTTATTTCAAAGAGTTAGAGAAAGAGAAAGAGAGGGAGAGACAGGGAGAGATCTTCCATCGCTGGTTCACTCCCCAGATAGCCACAGTGGCCAGCACTAAGCCTGGTCGGAGCCAGGCGCTTTCTCCCACATGGGTGCCAGGGCCCTCACACTTGGGGCATCTTCCTCTGCTTTTCCCAAGCCTTTACATGGAGCAGCTGAAACTAGAACCACCGCCCATATGGGATGCCAGCGACACAGGCAGAGGCTTTACCTGCTGGGCCGCAGCACCGGCCCCTGGATGGTCTTTTTTAATGCCATATATGTTACAGTTTAGTATGAGACTAGTTTCTCAGATCGGAGGTTTTGGCATTGGCATGTCCTTGCTGTGTTGCTGTGGATTACTGAAACAGCAAGGCCCCTGTGTGTGAGGAGCGCTGAGGTTAGGGGATGAGGACATGTGCGGGACTGAGGGAGAAGACAGGGCCAGGATCTAAACTCCTGAGCCTTGTTCTTCCTGACAGACGATAGAGCGTGAGGCCCTTAACTGCTTAGTCCACTCATCCGAGTTCCCACCTTACCTCTGGATTAGCAAAGGGGGACTGTTTTATGCCTTCTTCCCTGCTTAGCCCCTCACTTATACACACACACACACACACACACACACACACACACTATGCAGACAGGAAGGAGGAAACGGCACCTTGGCCGCACTGGGGGTTGGCTTCAGCACAGTTTTCTGCTCAAGTATAATGGACAAGCTGTCTGCACTTCAGACGTCCTGCATGTGACTTTTAGCTGAGTGAGCTTTTCCTGTTTCTTAAGTGGTCGTAGCTTAAGCATTGTGTAATCTGTGTGCGCACAGAGGCTCATGCAGTGCTTCCATGATGCCCACACGGACCTGGCAGGTGTAATAATGTTAGCACCTTAGAATGAGACACTAAGGAGTCACAGGAAGAGTCTGACCCAAAAAATACCCGTGCTTCCAGAGCGTTGCCCTGGACCGGCGTCAAGCATCCCGAAGCAGCGTTTCTTACAGTCACCAAAATTAATTATTGCTCTAGAGAAGCTTCCTCCCTCCATGTCTTTTGGATACAACTGCTTTGGTGTCGCTTTTAGTCTTAGAAATGTCAGGACTGGCATTGTGGCATAGAAGGGTGAACTGCCACGTGTAATGCAGGCACCCCATAGGAGTGCCAGTTCAAGTCCCAGGTGCTCTGCTTTCAATCCGTCTCCCTGCTAATGCACATGGGAAAGAAGTAGAAGATAGGGCTGGCACTGTGGCGTAGCATGTAAAACTGACACCTGTGGTGCCAGCATCACATATGGGCGCTGGTTTGAGTCCCGGCTGCTCTTCTTCCCATCCAGCTCTCTGCTGTGGCCTGGGAAAGCAGTAGAAGATGGCTCAAGTCCTTGGGCCCCTGCACCTGTGTGGGAGACCCAGAAGCTCCCGGCTTCTGGCTTCAGATTGGCACAGCTCCAGCCATTGCAGCCATCTGGGCAGTGGACTAGCAGATGGAAGACCTCTTGCTCTCTTTGCTTCTGCCTCTCTGTAACTCGGCTTCTCTCTCTCTGCCTCTGCCACTCTGGAGCTCTGCCTTTCAAATAAATAAATAAATCTTTAAAAAAAAAAAAAAAGAAGAAGGCGTGAGTACTTCAGTCCCTGCCACCCATTGTGGGAGACCAAGATGGAATTCCAGGCTCCTGACTTAGCCTGGCCTAGACCCTGCCGTTGCAGCTGTTTGGGGAGTGAAGCAGCGAATGGAGGATCTCTCTGTCTCTCCCTCTCTGTCTCTGTCTTTCAAGTAAATAAAATAAATTAAAAAAAAAAAAAAAAAGTTAGCAAGTGCTGCTCACATGCTCACAATGCTGCTGACGTGGCCCTGATGTTTCTGTCATCTCAGGAACAGGCGTCCAAGTTAGAGCAGGTAAGATGTTTGGAACTCTGACTGACAGATAACGTTCTTTGCTGACTGTTGTCAGAAGCCAAGAGGGTTGAACTCATGCCTTTTTTTTTTAGGATTTATTTTATTTATTTGAAGAGAGGTGGGGAGAGAGGTCTTCATCTGCCTCAAAGCATGGATTTAAGTCCTCAATTGAGTACTTGCTTGAATTTGTCTTTGGACGTATTTTTCTTTTGGTTAAGGAAATTACTGATTGGGGTTTAGCTTCACTCTTCATTCAGAGGAAAACTGCATCATTAATTCTGAAAGTGCGGTCAGATTGAACCTAGAAGAGCCTGTCTTCTTTGGCAATAAAAAAAATGGCTGTCTGAGTAGCAGGAGTCCTTCTTAGCTCCAGTGGAAAAGAGAAACCTTGAGTTAATATTTGATGTAATCAGTGCAGTGTGTTGTAAGGTGCTGAGTGGGAACTGATTGAGAATAAGAGAAATGATGTGTGCTTCTGTCCTCTGGAAGGTCACAGCTACAGAACCACACGGGGCACGACACGCTCACGCCGCTTCTCCTGTTTGGGGTGGGAGGGGGAGTTACCAGAGCTGTTTCTTTATTTTGCCGTGGTTACTCCTCATGGCATGTGTTTCTGCTCTGTGAGTGATAGTGTTCGCCCTGTGCGTGCCGGTACGCTCCCTTCACTAGCAGCTCAGCTCACGCACAGTGGGAGTGAACAGTGTCTGTGAGTTGGTGAAAACCACACCCAGCCAGGTCTGCCCCGGACACTCAGTGAATGTCAGTTCCTTCGTCTCCTCTGATAGGGCTGTGTTTTTCTAGATTGAACGATAAAGTGAAGAAGAAAGCTCTGACGTCATTCGAGAGGGACTCCATCTTCAGCAACCTGACGGGCCAGCTAGATTACCAGAATTTTGAGAAGGCTGACATGGTGATAGAAGCTGTGTTTGAGGACCTCAGTCTTAAGCACAAGGTGCTCAAGGAGGTGGAAGCGGTGAGTGAGGCACCTGCAGTGCTGGAGTCTGGGTGTTGGGGGTGGGGGGGCGGGGCCAAGCGGATCTGTCAAAGAATTACAGGAGGCTCTCAGTTCTCCTTGTAGAACGTTCATCTCCAAACACAGTTTCTGTGTGAGCTCACTAGGCAGTTATCAAAGTCAAATCTTAATCCTACAGGGAAAATTCAGGCTTCAGCAGCCTCATTCCTGTGGGAATTCAGACACACAAACATGCAGAGAACCTGACGGGGTCTGGCCAGATGTTTTTTTTTTTTTTTTTTTCCAGATTTATTTATTTTTATTTGAAAGTCAGAGTTATACAGAGAAGAAGAGGCAGAGAGAAGGAGAGAGAGAGGTCTTCCATCCGCTGGTTCACTCCCCAGTTGGCCACAACAGCCAGAGCTGCGCCAATCCAAAGCCAGGAGCCAGGAGCTGCTTTCAGGTCTCCCACGTGGGTGCAGGGGCCCAAGGACTTGGGCTGTTGTCTACTGCTTTCCCAGGCCACAGCAGAGAGCTGGGTCAGAAGTGGAGCAGCCAGGACTCGAACCAGCGCCCGTATGGGATGCTGGCACTGCAGGTGGCAGCTTTTACTTGCTATGCCACAACACCGGCCCTTGGCCAGTTGTCTTGAGATTGGCTGGCTGCCTGCAAGCCTTCACCAGGCTCCTTCAGGTCAAGGCAGCAAAGGACGCAGCGAGAAAACAGTTTGGGCAGGAGTCAGACGCTTGTCCTGGGGAAATGCTGCTCTGGTCCTGCTCCCGAATGCCCTATATAGCCAGTTCTTGAGTTGGGGTCACGTGAATAAAATGGGTGCTTGATGCAGGCATTATAAAGAAGGAGCCCTTGGGGTCAGCGCTGTGGCTGAACGGGTAAAGCCGCCTCCTGCAGCGCTGGCATCCCATATGGGCACCGGTTCATGTCCCAGCTGCTCCACTTCTGATCCAGCTCTCTGCTGTAGCCTGGGAAAGCAGTGGAAGATGGCCCAAGTCCATGGGCCCCTGTACCTGTGTGGGAGACCCAGAGGAAGCTCCTGGCTCCTGGCTTCGGGTCGGCACAGCTCCGGCCATTGCGGCCAATTGGGGAGTGAACCAGCAGATGGAAGACCTCTCTCTTTCTCTCTCTGCCTCTCCTTCTCTCTCTGTGTAACTCTGACTCTCAGATAAAATAAATCTTTAAAAAAAAAAAAAAAAAAAGAAGAAGGAGCCCTTGGGTGGACACCTGCATCCCATATTGGAGTCTCTGAGTCAAGTCCCAGCCGCTCTACAGTTTAATCCAGCTTCCTGCTAATGAGCCCAGGAGGCAGCAGATGATGGCCCAAGTCTCTGCCACCCACGTGAGAGACTTGGGTGGAGTTCTGGTTCCTGGCTTCAGCCTGGGCCAGTCCCGGCCTTTGCAGGTGGAAGATCTCTCTCTCTCTTCTCCCTTTCACCCACTCCCCCAACGATTGTCATTCTGCCTTTCGAAAACATATATAAATCTTCTAAAAAACAAAAAAGGGAAGGAGGAAGGAAAAGAAACAAAGGAAGAGGCCAGGAAAGAAGAAATGGCAGTAATTGAGGCACGCAGTAGGGGCAAGGCCTAGACTGGCCGCGGCTGGATACGGGGAGCAGGGAATGGTGGTGGCTCGGCGGCCCATGCAGCGTCTGCATGCGTGGACTGTGATGATTCCCCTGCCCGTGGGCATCAGCCCTGCCCCACTGAAGCTCAGGAGAAACCAAAGGCAGGTGCTGAGGGCAAACTCCACTTGCGAAGCACATATTCCAGAATCTGCCCTTTAGCACAGTGAACTCAGCTGAGGCAGAAACTCTGGAGAGCTGGGAAGATTGTGTCCCATCTGTGTTAGGTGACACTTCCAGCCTAGAGCCTTAAGTGGTAGTCCCAGGGCTGTGGGATCACCGCTGGGCCAGTGGAGGTAGGTTCTAGAAGCGTCAGAAGCAGTCAGGGCAGGGTGGGGAGAAGTGCCCTTACTGACGGGGATGTGGCCTTGCCACTGTGCGCCCTGGGAGGCAACATGCATCCCATATCAGAGTGCTGGTTTGAGTCCCAGCTACTCGCAGTCCAGCTTCCAGTGCACCCCGGGAGCCAGCGGATGATGGCTCGAGCGCTCGGGCCCCTGCCACCCAAGTGGGAGGAGCAGATTGAGTTCTAGGCCCTGGCGTCAGCCTGACCCAGCCTTGCCTGTCGCAGACATTTAGAGGGTGAGCAGGCACATCACAGACAGGAGCTAGCTTGTTCATAGACTTGAGGATCCCATGATTTTGGTTACTCCAGAGTGGGATGTGAGGGCCAGCATTCCAGCATATGGGGTCAAGCTGCTGCCTGTGATGCTGGCATCTCGTATGGGTGCTGGTTTGATTCCAGGCTGCTCCACTTCGGATCCAGTCCCTGCCAATGGCTTAAGGAAAGCAAATGGCCCAGGTGTTTGGGCCCCTGCCACCTTTGTGGGAGATCTGGAAGAAGCTCCTGGCTCCTGGCTTTGGCCCTCTCCCCCTTGCTCTGTTATTTTTGTGAATAAATAAATTTAAAAAAAGAGGGATGTGAACAGGTATTACAGCAAGGCTGTAGGAAAGCTAACATAGCCTGAGTTCTATCAGCAGGGGCCTGGTGTCTAATGCTTAGAGTACAGTCCTCTAGGAAGAGCAAACCGAGGGCTCCAAAGATGGCCGGAAACGTGACTGCTCCTTGGACCTGCACGTGTCGTCCCCCACAGAGAGGAGTCTGTTCCCCCTCTCCTGGGACCTGGGCTGTCTGTGGGACTTGTTTCTACCACTGGAAGCCAGCAGCCATGCTTTCCGGTGCTGGTGAGATGGAGGCCAGGCCGCAGGTGACGCCAGGCTGGGGAGGTCATAGCTTTCAAACTCCAGCGCAGATCCAAACAAGGAGAGGGGTGGGCCCGTGCTTGCTTGATTCAGGGCCATCTTCTCAGTGTTCGTCAAGGGCATTTTACCTACTCAGCTGCTGAGGTGGGGTCTCCAGGTGGGCATCAGGTGGGCTTATGACAGCCCATAGCCCGGGTGCTCCGTCATTGTCTGAGTGTGCAAGGGGGCGGGCCCAGGGGTCACTCACAGCTGTGCTGTGCTCTGCCCTCATCTCCCAGGCCGACATGACCCACTCTGACATGCTCTTCCTGCAGGTCATTCCAGATCACTGTGTCTTTGCCAGTAACACATCTGCTCTCCCCATCAATGAAATTGCTGCTGTCAGCAAAAGACCAGAGAAGGTAAACTGAACAGAGGAAAACCCAGCGATGCTGTACTGCTCCAGGCTCATGATGCGGGCAGGAGCGTGGACAGAGGGCCGGCTGTGGGTCGTGAGGCCGTCACCTGCCCGAGATGCGGGAGTCAGTGCAGTACAATAAGGTGTACTGTCACGGGGCACTGCATCCCTCCTGGGTATTAGTTTTCAAGTTGAGACGACAAAGCCCACTGTTATCCTGCAATTAGACGCTGAAGGTTAAGCCCTGAAACAGGGGACGCGGCAGAACTTGGATTCACTGCGGAGCATCGGTGACTGCGGAGGGTGGGTTTGGTTCTGCCTCCAGCTCTGGGAATGGAGGGTCAGAAGTTGTGGCAGCTGCGTCCACTCTGCTGAGATGTAAAGGCTGAGTAATCCAGGGGAGGAGAGAGCATTCAAGCAAAGAGAAGGCGGCTCACGTCCCCGGAGCGCACCAGGTACCCTAGCTAACCAGACCAGCCAAGGGAGGCAGGAAACAGAAAAGCCCTTGAAGTAGCTAAAGTTGTTCATACACAGTGTGCTAGAAGCACAACAGCCTGTTCTTCGCCTCTTCCAGCTTGCTGACGCAGGGTGACAGCGCGGGGCAGAGGCAATGTGGCGCTGGCAGGGGCAGGCCAGTGACGGCAGAGGAGCAGTTGGTAGCCGCCCTGCAGCACCTGACAGCACTAAAGGAGCGTCCGTGCTGCTCCGGTCCTCCTGTGGGCGCAGCAGGCGTCACACTGGCGGGGCCTTGGCTAGCTTGCCTCACCTGCTGGCCAGAGGGGCTGGAGGAGGGTGACCAGCTGTGCTGGTTCGCCCCTGACAGGGCTTTCTCAAGACACAAGACCATCAGTGCTTCAGTCAGGATCAAAGATGGGCTGACACCCTTGGCACAACCCTCTGAGTGACGTAAATGTGTTTTGCTCAAGGTAGTGATTACAAGAGGGTGTATACAATCGTCAGAACACTCTGAACACTTTAAGATCTGTATGCTTTATTATGTAAATATTACGTATGTCAGAAAAGGCTAATTCCTTTTACACAGGAATACTCAGTCTAAATCAGGTCCAGGGTACTTTAGACCAAAGTGCAAGGACAGCTTGGGGGTTGGAAGCACTGGGTCGATGGTTCCACACGCTGCTCACCGAGCCGTGTGCAGCTGGCCCTGTACAGCCACAGGGTCACATCCGCGGATTCCGCCACTGCAGAGCCACACCCTCGAGGGAGCGCCCCTCTACCGATCACGTTCACTGTTTTTTCTTGTCGTCATCCCTACACAGCACAGCATACCATGTTCTCTTAGCATCTGCGCTGTGTCACCTATGAGACGTCATCTGTGTCGCTCCCCCTCTTCGTGGAGGAGCAACACAGGACCCTGCGCTGTTCTTTCGTCTGCTCGGCCCTCCCCGGGTTTGCTGCTGGTTCTTCCCGGGTTGGCTACTATCCCTTCCACCTCCGTGGAAGGGCAGTTCCCCCTGGCCGCATTCCCCACTTCCGCAGGGGAGCGGCACACCGCCGGCCGGCTCTTTCGGGGGCTGCACGGGTTCCCTTAGATGTTCCCCATAGATGTTCCTGGTGCATGCCGTCTCTCTCCTCCTTTATAGTCCTTCTCTGCCAATCCCAACTCGGCTGCCCACACGCCGAGTACGCTGCTCTCCTCCAATCAGGAGCAAGTCCTACAGTTTATCAGTTGAACTGGAGGCAGCTGTGCGGAAGCTGTTTACTTCTCTCCCAACGCCATATTGTGGGAGAGCAGATGCATAGAATAAGTCTTAATTCGAGTAACAGTCTAGTCCGGATTGCTCCCCACAAATCCCCCTTTCTTTTTATTTTTTAGCGTTGATACGCGCCTGTCTTCGGTGTCCCGCGGCACACACTCTGCTCTACTTGCTAGAGTTGCCACAGGCTCTTACAAGTCCTATCAATCAGGAAAACCGAATCCGGGTCCTCTCTTCGCCATTGTGAGGAGGTTTTTAGGCGCTGATGCGTGCCTGTGTTCGGTGCCCTGCAGCGCATACTCTGCTCTGCTAGAACTGCCTGCAGGTGTTTACAAAACCTATCAGGCAAACCGAATCCAAGCCTTCTCATTGCCGTATTGTGGGGGAGACTTATTAGTGTTAGTTTGTGCCTATCTTCGGTGACCTGCAGCTCGTACTCTGGTCGAGCTTTGCTGGCGCTTACCGCCTTAAATCAGGCAGACCGAATCCAAGCCTCCTAATTATTGCATTGTGGGGAAGCTTTACTGATGTTAATTCGTGCCTGTCTTCGGTGACCTGCGGCTAGCCGCCCAGGTGCTCATCGCCTCACTAATCGGGCAGACCGAATCCAAGCCTTCTAATTGGCATGTTGAGGGGAGGCCTTATTTTTCTCTATTTCTCTATCTCCGGGCATTCCTACCTCTCCCATTTCACTTCTATCTTCCAGCATTCCCATTTCTCTTTTACTTCACTTCCAAACTTCTGTTTCTCTTATCCCCGCAGCTTCCCGGCACCTCGCCCCGCCGGCGGGTTCCCGGCTCTGCGCCGCTTCAGCCCGCGCGCCTCTCTCATCTGCGCAGCTTCCCGGCTTTGCGCGGCTCGGCTTTGCGCGCTCCGCGGTCTCCACGCTTAACCCTTTCGCGTCTGAACCACGGCCTACGCCAGCGTTCCCTATCTATTCACGCCCCGTGCTCTCTCTGCACGCGGCGGCTTCCGCGAGTAACACAGCGTAGCTTGCGTGTCCGCCACTAGCATTCAATCTAAGTTCCCCGGGCTAGCCTGGCGAATTCAACCCAGCGTACGTCTCCGCCCCACGGTTTGGCTTCCCGTCCTTTGCTCCCCGGGCTAATCAGACGGATCCCAACCTGGCTCACGTTTCAGCTTCTGGTTTCAACTTTTCGCCCCCCATTCCCGGGCTAACTTGAGAACCCCAAAGTGGCTTCCGTTTCCGCCTTGGCCTGCCCCCTGCGGCTTCAATTTCCCTAACATTTTTCTCTACCCGGTATGTTTCCCCAAGCTTTCCTCCAACAATACTCCTCCCTCATTTCTCCTGGCCTCTCCCCACAGTCCGCGTCCGAGTCTGTTTGTTCTAGCTTTCACTTTCGCTTTCGACCTTAGAGATTTCTCCCAGCTTCCCCCCGTAGTCCGTATCCGAATCTATGCCTAGGCTTTCAATAGCTTCTTCCGGCTCCTTTTTCGTCCGGCTTTTCCCTAGGCTGTTTGCTAGTCTCTCCGATATTTTCCCTAGACTGTTTGCTAGTTTCTCTCTCCGATATTTTCCCTAGTTCTTCCCGTTTCTTCCCGTTTCTTCCCTCCTAAGTTTCATATCCGTCCTAAGTTTCCTATCCGTGCTAGGTTTCCTATCCGAGTCAGGTTTCCTATCCGAGTCACGGCACCATTATGTCGCTCCCCCTCTTCGTGGAGGAGCAACACAGGACCCTGCGCTGTTCTTTCGTCTGCTCGGCCCTCCCCGGGTTTGCTGCTGGTTCTTCCCGGGTTGGCTACTATCCCTTCCACCTCCGTGGAAGGGCAGTTCCCCCTGGCCGCATTCCCCACTTCCGCAGGGGAGCGGCACACCGCCGGCCGGCTCTTTCGGGGGCTGCACGGGTTCCCTTAGATGTTCCCCATAGATGTTCCTGGTGCATGCCGTCTCTCTCCTCCTTTATAGTCCTTCTCCGCCAATCCCAACTCGGCTGCCCACACGCCGAGTACGCTGCTCTCCTCCAATCAGGAGCAAGTCCTACAGTTTATCAGTTGAACTGGAGGCAGCTGTGCGGAAGCTGTTTACTTCTCTCCCAACGCCATATTGTGGGAGAGCAGATGCATAGAATAAGTCTTAATTCGAGTAACAGTCTAGTCCGGATTGCTCCCCACAATCTGGAGATGACCTAAAGTATGCAGGAGGCCCAGCGAGGATTATGTGAAATACTGCACCGTTTTATAGGAGGGACTTGAATGGGGATTTTGGTACCCATGGGTCCCGGAACCAGTGAGCCTCAGGCAGATACTAAGGGACAAATGTGTCGTGTTATGTAGTAGTCAGTGGTCGGGCTTCGGACACAGACCTGGGATGGAGTCCCTGCTGCCCCTGAACAACAGACCGTGAGCTGCTGATTTTAACCTTGATAGACTGACTGGTTCAGGGTTACAATGGAGTAGGGAAAGGAATGTGGCACAAATGACTAAGGAGCAGGTGGATGGTCCCAGCTGCGCCCTGTAGCTGAGGTGCGGGAGAAAGCACAGTGCCAGGTGAATGGCCTAGACGGCTCTGGCCGTTCTGCTTACTGAGGAGCTTCTCAAACCTCAGCCTGCATCCAGTTCACCAGAAGGGCCTACTGGAGGCAAAGTCCGACCTACTCCTTCCGCTTGTCCTCCCTGCAAACGTGGACCTGTCACCTGAACCAGCAGGCGGTTACGCAGTGGGGCCTTCGCTCGCTCATCCCCGACAGACCTTGTTTGGCCTGGGCTGTGGTTTTGGCACTGACTGTGGGTAGAGGGACCAAATGTCCCGGAAGTAATTAAGAGGGGGGGATCCCCATACACTCTCTGTAAGCACATGAGGCCAAGCCACTTGACTGCCTGTTCTGGATGCACCCACCTTTCTCGGTGTCCCCCAGCGGGAGGGGCCGTAGGAGGGGACTGCTCAGCGCTCAGTCTGCCGGCCTCGTCCCGTCCCCCCAGGTGATCGGCATGCACTACTTCTCCCCCGTGGACAAGATGCAGCTGCTGGAGATCATCACCACCCAGAAGACCTCCAAGGACACCACTGCTTCCGCGGTGGCAGTGGGCCTCAAGCAGGGCAAGGTCATCGTGGTGGTCAAGGTGAGGGGCTGTGTGTCTGGCAGGCACCTCCAGGCCTGGCTGTGCTCATTCTGGGGCAAACACCCCCGCTCTCCTGGGTGCTTTCCCTCGGCTGTGTCCAGGATGGACAGTGCAATTGACTGCACCCCTGAGAGGAGGCAGGGGTGGGCAGTGTCAGGTGTGCGGAGCCTTGAAGATGACCAAGGAATGACAGGGTGCAGCAGGCCACCCCTGGGAGGGCCTCCCCGCTGTTTGGGGTTTGGGTTTTTGGTTTTTGAGATTTAAAAGGCAGAGTTAGAACTTCCATCTCCTAGTTCACTCTCCAAATGGCTGCAGCAGGAGGGGCTGTGCCAGGCCAGAGCCAGGCGCCAGGAGCTTCATCCGGGTCTCCCACATGGGTGCAGGGGCCCAAGCACTTGGGCCGTCTTCCGCCACTTTCCCAGGTGCTGGATTGGGAATGGAGCGTCAGGAACTCAAACCACTCCCACACGGGATGCTGGTGTCGCAGACCGCAGCCTAACCCCCTGCACCACAACACTGGCCTCCTCGGTTTAGTTTTAAGACTTCAGATTGAGATTTCTAAATCACCTTAAATTTTGAGATGACACCTGGGGCAGTGAGGCTGGTTTTGGATTCGGGAGCGGGGAGGAGGAGCGGCGATGGGCAGTAGCTCCCGTCCTCTCCCTTGCAGGATGGACCTGGCTTCTACACCACCAGGTGTCTCGCCCCCATGATGTCCGAAGTCATACGAATCCTCCAGGTAGGAGCGCCCTGCCGTGTGGGGGGATGAGGAACGCGCGTCCCTCTCACGCACCAGCCCCTGCCACTTCCTCGCCGCGTGGCAGTGGGAAGCCGGGGCTCACCCCACACTCAGCTTCCTCACTGCTCCACGAGCCAGAGGCCTCCCGCCACCCTCTGCCGGCTTCGCGGCTGGGCGTGGACCTTCCACAGCAGAGCCTGTGGGTCCACCGTGCTGCCTGTGCTGCTGCTGCGTGCCGCGTCTCCCGTGGCCGTCCAGGGCGTGCCCCGGCAGGACAGGGGGCGTCGCCCCGGCAGGCACTTACGCACACGCAGGTCCCGGGGCTCTGCCCATCTGCCGTGGGACCTCCCTACTGACATTAGACGTGTAGACAAAAAGGCAGTGCGTCATTTGGTCTGCTCTACCAATCTCTAAAGTGTGACAGATTCCAGGTTCAGACTTCCCACCCACGGCCCCAGACCTCTTTGTGCTGTCCGGGACGGGGCCAGTGTTGACCTGGCCGCGCGGCACCCAGAAGGGAAGTGGGTTTCGCAAAGGTTGTGTCAGGATCTGCCCTGAGGGACTTGGTGGGGGCTCTGGGATGACCTTCCCCTGAGATCCCGCCTTCACTTCCTGTGCAGGAAGGAGTTGGCCCCAAGAAGCTGGATTCCTTGACCACAAGCTTCGGCTTTCCCGTGGGTGCTGCCACGCTGGCAGATGAAGTCGGCGTGGATGTGGCGAAACACGTGGCCGAAGACCTAGGCAAGGCCTTTGGGGAGCGGTTTGGAGGCGGGAGCCTGGAGCTGCTGCAGCAGATGGTGGCCAAGGGCTTCCTGGGTGAGTGAGCTCGGGGGACCTTCCAAGAGGTCTCCCGCCCCCCAGAGTCAGGGGGCGCATGGGGAGTCTGGCCATGGGGAATTTCACGTGAGTTCACAAGAACTATCTGGGTGGGGGACGGGTTATGCCCGAGGACGGATCTCACCGTGCTGTCTGGCCTCCTATGGGGAGACAGTGAAACCTCGTGGTGCCGTGCACACGGTGGAGGCACACAGACACGTGGCTTTCTCTGGGCAGAACAGCAACACCAGCGCTAGGCCCTGGCCCTCCTGGCTTGTCTGTGTGAACGTTAAAACTTGTCCAGTGGTCCTTCCTCCAGACACACGGGTCCCCACGCTCCATCCCTGCTCGCTCTTCTGACGGAGCCTGAATCGCTGCTGGAGTGAGCGACACACCCACGCCAGCTTCAGACCGGAGGCCGGCGCTGCATGGCCAAGCAGCAGAGACGAGAATTCTTGGACCAGGGCTCTGAGAAAATGGAGCAGTAACGCCGTCATTTCTTGTTTTTCAGGTCGCAAGTCTGGGAAAGGTTTTTACATCTATCAGGAGGGTTCAAAAGACAAGAATTTGAACTCTGACATGGACAGTATTCTGGCAGGTCTGAAGCTGCCCGCCAGGCCTGAGGTGTAAGTCCTGTTGAGTGGCTCGTGGCACGGAAGCAGCCACTTCTGGAGGTCCGGAGCGGCGCTGTCCCTGTCCCTGTCCCGGACTTTCACACCCCTGAAGGGAGTGTTCCCAGGCTGGCCCAGGGCTCTGCAAGCTGGGAGCCTCCCGTGGGCCCCCTGGCTCCAGCCTTCCCCCTGGGGGGTCCCCAGAGCAGTGGCAGGGCCCCTTCCCCGTGGAGACCTGTATTCTCACTTGTAAGCACTTGACATTGCTGAGGTCAAGAGAAAACTGATCTAGGGACTCCGTTCCATGTGAATCAGGGCAAGCGACGCTCCCCTTTGCCCAGCGGACAGGCGGGGCCCCCGGCCTGCACCTCTGTGCAGCACCCAGCACCCCCCTCACTTCCCACTGTGCACTGGCTCCTGCTTGCCCCCTCTCCCTCTCGCTCATCCGTCTTCCGGTTCACAGCTCCTCCGACGAGGACATCCAGTACCGCCTGGTGACGAGGTTTGTGAACGAGGCAGTCATGTGCCTGCAGGAAGGGATCCTGGCCACCCCCGCAGAGGGGGACATTGGTGCCGTCTTCGGGCTGGGCTTCCCACCTTGTCTTGGAGGTTGGTCCTGCGGGCTGGGAGGGGCTTGTGTCATCCTGGAGCCCGTGTTGTCTTCACCTTCAACTGGGTCGCCTTTCTCCATCCAGGGCCCTTCCGCTTTGTGGACCTGTACGGAGCTCAGAAGGTAGTAGACCGGCTGCGCAAGTACGAGGCTGCCTACGGCAAGCAGTTCACCCCGTGCCAGCTGCTCATCGACCATGCCAACAGCCCCGGCAAGAAGTTCTACCCATGAGCGGGCCCGCTGCCGGCAGGCTGCTTCCCCACGAGCACTGTAGCGTTAGCCCAGGACCAGGAGGACGCGCTGCGACGTGGGCTTGCTCTTATCAAAGTGCCTTCAGCTGTGACCACATCTCCTTCCTGCTGAAGTCTGACTGTGACGGAGTTTGTACTTCACGCTGGAAGGTGGGACCCACTGTGCCCCATTTGTAAGCCCCAGGGCCCGAAGTGGCTGCTGAGAGCCGTCTGGAGCCGTCTTTGCCGCCCATTCTCCCAGGAGGCCCATGGTAGCCAAGATGGCGGGGGCAGTTCTGCACCCAGCCAGACACGGGCTAACAATAAAGCCTGACAACCTAAGCCTGTCTGCTTGTTCCTTTTCCTTGTCGCTGCCCTCTGGTCCGAGCCCCTCCTTCTGGAAGCAAGCTGGAGGGAAGCCCTGTGCTGGGAGGGTTCTAGGCAGCTGTCATGCGAGAAGGGGACCTGCTGTGCCTGATTCAACACTGAAACCTGATCTTCACATCAGCTGGGCCAGCGTAGCCTGGGGAGGCGGCCCGGGGTAGCCAGAGCGCAGAAGTGGAAGCGGCTGGCGCACCAGGATGCTGAACGAGTACCCACTGTGTTCCTCGGGGTGCTGTTTGCACTGCCCCGGAGGTGGAAGGTGGACGATGCCCTCGCAGGGAGGGAGGCAGCGCGGGCAGTGACGCAGTCCACGCCACCTGCGCTCTGCTGTGGCCTCCCCCCACCCGTGTGGAAAGTTCCTGCTCGTGTTCTGGCAGAACAGTGCGCCGGCTGGGTAAACAGCACTGGAGCTCCCGGCCGGGCCTGGCAGAGGGACCCACACTGAGTACTGGGTGTGTGCGGAATCCTAATTCAGCGCCCTTCACGGTTAGCACAGTTCTTCGTGTTGCCCTGGGCCCAGCAGACAGGGAGCTTAGTGTGGGCTCCACCGAGCACTGCCGGTGACTAGGAAGCCAGTCATTGCCGAGTTGAGGTTTTTGGATGAGTAAAAGGCAGAGAACTGATCTTCAACACCAAGGCCATTAACAGGCTTCTACCTCCGAGGGTCTGGCCCTGGTGGGTGGCACTGAACTTTGACATCTGGGTCTTTGCATTCAGTGATACCAGGTAGGTGGGACTCACTGTGACACATCAGTGGGAGTTGGAAGGTTCCTCCAGGGCAGAGGGAATGAAGTCTGCTTCCCGCTGCCTCCAGGAACGTGAATGAGCCCTGTGCCCACCCACGTGACTCCCAAGTCCTCGGCTTCAGAACACATATGCAGTGCCCATTGAGCCCCACGGCCCTCAGCAAGCAAGCAGCTGACCCCCAGAACGGCACCTGCACCCTCCGTCAGCAGGCTGGCATTTATTTGACTAGTCCTTGAGGATTCATTGAACAGTCTGCAAGAAAACCAGCTCCCATGCCCCATCTCCCTTCACCACCGCCTGCATGGGGCATGGGCACCTGCGTGGCTTAAAACTGAAGGAAATAAATATCTAGGAAGACTAGGGAGGCCCGAGGAGGAGGCAGGGAGCTCTGGGCCCTGGCGCTCGGCACGAGCAGCAGCTGGTGTGTGCACGGTGTGGGGCTTGTGCACAGGGAGCAGCGCTGGGTGCCAAGCAGGTCACCATGCCTGCGATTCAAGGGCACAATGACCCGCCCCAATGCGTGCGACCCAGTACAGGACTGAGCTCCAGAGGAGGAGGGGAGAGGCAGGGTTCACCCAAGCCACCGAACTTCCTGTCCCAACCATACCCTGCTGTGCCAGTGCCAGAAAACCAGGGGAGTCAAACAACAGCGGGCAGGAGACCAGTACGAGTGGGGGCGACTGGCCACCTGTCAGTTCTAGACTTGAAATGGACCTGCTCTTGCTGGGGCAGTCTCTGGAGACAGGGATGGGCGGAGGGGTGCAGTGAGGTCTGTGCAGAATCCGGGGAGCTACAGAGGTCTCCCTGGCTAGACAGGCCTGCGCCAGAGCTGTGCTCTTCCAGAGCTGTCCCATCGCAGAGCCAGAACCAGAGGTGGAGGCTCCCGGCACCATGGCACAGGCTTGGACTTAAGTCACCTGCACTCAGGCCCAGGCACTTAAATCGAGGCAGGGCTGCAGGGCATGGGGAGGGTCCCAGAGAGACAGAAATCAGCAGCCCTGACTCGGGGGCACTTTTAGACCAGATGCCATCAGAGCACAAGGGAGAGAGGGCACTTGGGGGATTTGTGCTTAACCTAATGCACGGTCCTCCTCCCTGTCTAACCCGAACCTATGGTGCTAGAGAAGTGCAAGGCCGCGGAGGAGGCCTGTGTGGGCGTGGGAAGGGGAGCCCCTGTGGGCATCAGAGCCAATGCCCAGCGCTTCCCGTCCCCTGCCCACGTATTCTGCACACTCGAGGCAGGGAGGCCCCTGGGTCACGCAGTCTTGGCACAGGCGCGCCCAGGCTGTGCGGCCACGGCGGCCGGTTCAGATCTTGGGCCGCCAGCCCTTGATGAACTGCATGACCTTCTTGACCTGCAGCTTGGTGAGGTGGAAGTCGTCCGCCAGGATGTCCTCGCTGAGCTGCACAAAGATGCTCCCATCAATGCGCTCCCGGGCGAAGAAGCTCACCACGTCCTCCGAGAGCCCGATGAACCGCAGGCTGCGAGACACCTCCTCCAGGGAGAGCGCGGACAGGTCGGCGGGGGGCTGCCACGAGGAGGCGTCCCGGCTTCCCAAGGCCACGGCTCCATCCCGGGGACTGCCCGGGCGCCCTTGGCCGAGAAAGAGCCGGGCTCCCCCTGCCTCGGGCCCCGGCAGAGTAGTGGCAGGTGACAGCGGGGTGGGGGCCTGCCGCAGCACCAACCCTTCAGGCTCGAAGGCCTTGAGGGCGCCGAGTGGTGAGAGGCAGGGTCCAGGCCCGGGAGCCCCCGCTGCCCGGGGCTCCGCACAGCGCAGCAGCTCGGGCTCTGGAGAACTGCCCTGCCCCAGCTCAAAGGGATCCACAGGCTCCAGGGGGGGCTCCTGCCACTCAGAGGAGGAGGAGGAGGTGGGGCAGGAGGGGGGCGGAGCAGCTGCATAGGCCTGGCCTGGGGAGACTGGGCCTGGAGAATAGGCAGTGCTGGAGGTAGCCAGGGGGCCCAAGGAGGTGGTGGGCGGCCCGGAAGAGGCGGCCGCTGAAGGGCCCGAGGGGTAGGGAGGACCCGAGAATGGGTTGAGAGCTCCAAACGGAGCAAAGCGTTTCTGGGGATGAGCGGGCTTGAAGAGAGGCGGGCAGCCATGGAAGCTCTTGCCGGTGGCATCCGCCCCCAAGAGGGAGGCAGCTCGGCTGCTCAGCGGCTCCGCTGGGGTCCGGGAGGCCTGGCTGGGCTGTGTGGTGGAGGGCAGGGGCCCTGGGGGCGGGCGGCTAGAGGTCTCGCCCACCTTGCAGTCTCCCCAGGTGCACGGGTAGCAATACAGGGAGTAGGCGTCCGGCGACGGAGAGCCACTGCCACTGCGGGAACCCGCCCTGTGGGCACAGACAGGCCCACACAGGCCTGTGTCAGTCCCAGGGGCGCTCACCCACCCACCCCCCGTTCCTTCCTGCCAGCTTCCCCAACCCAGGTCAAAAAAAAAACAGAGAAAACTAAATGTTTGCAAACAGCAAGGGACAGGCTCTCCACAGCAGACTCCCAGCCTGGAGGGAACCAGGGCAGCACTCCCTGCGTCCCATTTAAGAAAGCAAGCGGCTGAGGTGGGACAGTGCGGAGTGGCCCTGGGCTGCACTGCCCTCGGACCCTCCCAGGCCCGAAGCCCAGCTCGTCCTGAGCCCTGGCCCCACCCCACCGCATCCTGCCGTGCCTCGGTCCCCCTCGGGAGAACCAGGGTGGAGAGAGGAAGGGACTCACCCATCCTGGACGCCAGCAGAGTAGAAGGAGAGGCTGGAGCTGGGTGAATGGCTGGGCTGCAGCTTGGGGAAGCGAGGGGGCACCGGGGGGCTGCCCGAGAGGTGGCCGCTGCCGCTGCCACCGCGGGGAGGCACAGGTGGGGCATTGAGCAGGCGGCACTCCTCCTTCACCTGCAAGCAGAGGGCCGTGACCTTGGCCCGGTCCCAAGCAGCTGGGCACAGCAGGTGTCGGGGGCTGACTCTGTGCCCCACTTTGCCAAGAGCTGCTTTGCCCTTCCCCAAATGCCCTAGCCTCTTGGGCCTATTTCCCCCACAACACACAGGGCCTCCTGTTGCCTTGGAAACCCATCCCACACCGGGAGAAATGTGGAAGCAATCAGGGGCAGTGGGAAGTGCCCCCCCCAGAACTGGGAATAAAAGGGGAGTGGGAGGGAGGCCTGTGAAGTCCCCCTAGGCGAGCACCCCGGTGTGGCCGCTGGGAGCGGGACAGGCGACCCCTGCACTCCGCGGGCAGATGTGTTCGGGAGAGTCTGGTTAGCCAGGTTTCCTTAGTGTAGAACTTGCACAGCTCCGTGCTCTGGGACTCCCAAGGGAGGGAGAGTCTGGCACGTGTCATGGCCAAGGACTCCTGCTCCGTAAAACCTCTGCGTCACAGGTTCTAGGCTCATCCTGCCTCCTGCAGGGCCAAGGACCCAGCGGCACCTTTGCGCCCACACCGCCCCAGGCCACCACGTGGGGGTCGCCGCACTTTCACCCTCTCCTCCCCTGGCTGGAAACTCACCGCCTCGGACTTGGGAGGCACAGGCGGCGGCGTCTCGAGCTCCCGACGCGGCTGCCCGGAGGCTCCGAAGGAGATGAGGTCGGGCCCGGGCGGCGCCTGGTGCGCCCACAGCTCCTCGTAGGGGATCTCGGCGGGCGCCGCGGTGGGCTCGGGCGCAGGCGCGGGCGCGCCAGCCCAGTCCGGGCTCACGTACTCCTGGTCCCCATCGCCGGCGGGCGCGGGCGGACCGGGGACGCGAGCGGGCAGAGACGTGCGCGGGGGCGCGGGCAGGCAGAGGCGCGCGCGGCGCGGGCTGGCGCAGTCGTCGGCGAGCTCGGCGGGCGCCTCGCGCACGGCCGTGGAGTACTCGTCCGGGTCGAAGCGCTCGCGGCAGTAGGAGGCGCTGTCGCGCACCAGGCGCTCGACGCGCGGGTCCCCCGCCAGCAGGCCCTGCGGCAGCGCGAAGCGCGGCGTGTCGGTCAGCAGCAGGAAGTGCAGCGGCGCCGGGCCTTCGCGGCGCAGCGCCAGCCCCAGCACCACGGTCTTGGAGATGATGCTGACCAGCTTGTAGCAGTGGCCCTCGCGCACCGGGTGAAGGTCGTAGGGGTTGCGCGGCGGCCGGCTGGGCACCAGCACGTTCACCGGCAGCCGCACGCGCTCGATAATGGCGCGCACCGTGTGCTCGCCCTCCTGCATCTGCAGCTCCAGGGGGCTGCGCGTGCTGAAACGGCCCTGGCACTGGAAGGGCAGGCTCAGGCTCTCGTTGGTGCGATGGTTCATGCAGATGAGGCAGGGCATCTTGCCTTTGATGGGCCGTGTCCCCGCGCCACCACCACCGCTGCTGCCCACGCCCGCCAGCGCCCCGGCCCGGCCCAGCCTGCGCAGGAGCGTGGTGAAGCGCGAGCGCTCCTTGGTGCTCTTGGCGCACAGAATCTCCGCCTGGCCCATGAGGGTGAGCTCGTCGCCCGCGTGCAGCGTGAAGTTGTACACCTCGCTGTCCTCGCTGAACTCGCCAGACACCACCTGGGACCCCGGAGACAGGGTGGGGCCTCAGCCGAAGCCACGCGGCCGGCCCTGCGGGGCCATCTGCATGGAACGGGGCAGCAGCCGCGCTCCGTGGCCCTCCCAGGCTGAGACCACACCCCGAACACGTCGCTGCAGCTTAGGACACCCACGTGGCCTCCTGGGGCTGCCCCCGGCAGCTAATTGCGTGAGCTTTACCCTGTGGCCGGTGATGCTGCTCACCCCCCTAACAAGGCGACTCCAGAGCGGAGGAACTAACGGGAAAGAGGCGTTTGTAAACGGGGGCAGCCACTGGGGCAGCAGCTAGGGTGCCCTTGAAAGGCCCCCAGGTTGGGGCGTGACCCCTGGGCTCAGCACATCCGCCTGCTGCTCTGCCTTTCACCGGAAGTCCTGGGCCCTGAGCCCCCTGCGCCGGATTTTCAGGAGGTGGTTGATGGTCCCCGGAAGCCAGGTCGTAGCCCTCCCCCTCCTGGTCCCTTGCCCCTTAGGAAGGGGCAGTGTGGGGTCACAGTGCTGGGCATGGGAAAAGCTGACCTTGACGCTGAAGGTGATGGCTTCCATCACAAAGATGCGGTCCGGGAAGACGCTGGCCACCTCCTCCACGCTGCTGAAGTACCTCACTGGCTCACGCACATCCCGGGCCTGCTCCAGGAGCTTGAACTTGCCTGCCCGGGAAGGGGGAGCAGCACAGGCTGCTGGGAGCCACGCCTGCATCCTCACACCCCCACGGTCCCCCCTGCTCGCTGCTCTGATGTCAGCCGACCCCTCGGGAACTCAGGGCACAGGAGGCAGCTTTGCACAGCACGGGCACCCCAGCCTCAGTGAGGAGGTGAGCACAGATCCCCGGCGGCGAGCGCCCAGCCTGCACCCAGGGAGAGCTAGTGGTGTGCTGAGGCCAACAGAGGCCTGCCCAAAGAAACCCTGCGCCAACTGGCCCCACACTCCCAGGTGCAGAGCTGGCCTCTGCCCAGCCATCCATGGGGCCCGACGGCCTGGCTCCCGGCTTGTCCCCAGCCTGTCCTCTGCCTCTCTGGGTCCTTAAGGGCCAGAGGTCCTTGGTCCCTGCCTGGTTCTGGCGTCCTGGGCATCTGCTCTGGGCTGCTGGTCCATGGCGACTCAACGGGCAGGCAGAACAGAGGCCCCGGGAAAGCTGCCCTGAGCCCAGAGCTCTACCCTGGTCCAACATCCCATCCACTGTCCCAGAGTGAGGCCACTTCCCGCAGAGGAGGGAGGCCTGCCCAAGCAGCAGACGTGGACTTCAATGAAGTGGTCCCAGTGCATGCTGGGACATCCCCGTCTGCATGAAACTGGCTCCCCTCGTGGCTGTACCTTTTGTGTGCCCACCTACAAGCGCACCAAGAGGCTGGGACCGCCCAGGCATCAGAGGGACAGCCTCTGCACCGGCCTGCCCCATGTAGGAGGCAGAGAGGGAGGTGGAGCAGACAGCAAGGGGCTGCAAAAGGGCGGGGCATGCTGTGCCAAGGCGCAGGACTTCACGCCTTTGGAAGGGGCGTTTCCAGCGAGGAAATCCCATGATCCAGGCTGAACTCTAGGAGGGTAACAGAGGCCAGCGGACAAATCATCCAGCCCCAGGTCCCAGGGAGGAGCCTAACAGGAGCAGACCGCCAGGTACTTGGAGTCAGGGAGACGCCTCAGACCCGGGGGACTGAGTGAGGGCAGGTGTGAAGGGAGGAAGGAGGGGGCTGTCCTTCGGCCCCCAGCCTCGTCCCACGTGGCGATGCAGAGCCGTCAGGCAAAGATCCAAACCCAAAAAGAGCACGTTGTGGGGCCGGGAAAACCTGCAACCCTGCAACCCTGCGGTGGCCGGGGGAGGGGGACAGGCTCCAAGGTGCTCCTGGGGCAGGAAGAGGAAGAGCAGAGGCTGTTAACCCTTCTGCTCCCTGAGACACACACACACACACACACACACGGGTGTCTGGAGCCCTGCAGTGCAGCCAGAGAGCCAGATGGAGATGCCCTCATGCAGCTGTGAAGAGCAGAGAGCCAAGGGCAGAGCCTGAGGCACCAACATCTAGGAGTGGGACCAGAAAGGACAAACCAAGACAGACCAGGGAAGAACAGGCGCCGGTCCTGCCGTCACCAGCCTGGGACCCTCCTGGGATGAGGCCACGGTCCTAGCAGGCGGCAGGGGTAAAACCGGAGGGATCCAGGCAAGGAGCAGGGGTCTGGGAGTGAAGAAGCAGGCCCCGCAGGTCTGCCGCCATCTGACCGGGAGTAGCCCTCCCCCCGCCCCGCCGGGGTCCACACACAGCACTCCGGCTGTAAGCAGCCAGGCAGTGCGAAGTGGCCGCTGCCCCCCACCCCCGCCCCTGTGGGGAGATTTGGAGCCAAGTCAGGGCTGGAGCCGGGGGGAGGATGTGGCAGGCAGGATCGATGTAACCATGGCACCCAGCACCACCCCCTCAGCCACAGCCCGGAGCCCAGCAGTGGCCATTACTGCTGGGAGGAAGGAAGGGAGACCTCCCGGGACAGACGCTCCGGCCACGGCCAGCCGCTTCCTCCCCCTACGGCTTCCTCTCCTGCCTCCCGCTAGGTGGGACCCCTGGGCTGTCCCCTGTGTCTCCAGGGACCTACCCTACCCTGGCCAGCCCCTTCTCCCAGTCCTCGCCCCCTCCCCCAGGACACAGTCATGTTCCCCTGGTCCCCCTTCCAGCCTGAAGCACTTTGCCTGCTGGAGCAAGGTCTGGTGTCCCCCCCCCCACCTGGTGTCTGTCCCGCAGCTGGGGTGACAGCACAGGCTTTGGAGTCCAACAGCTGGTTAGCTGTGTGACCTCAGGCAAATTACTGGCTGTCTGGGAGAAGCAGGTGTCCCTGACTCCTGGAGAGATGGGCCTAGGCCGGAGTCACCAGGCAGCGCCCCCAGCCCCTCCCCTCCCCCCCTTGCTCTCTCCTCAGTCCACAGCCGGCTCCCCTGCCGGCCCAGGGCCATTATTAATTCATTAAGAGGAATCGTTACACTCAGAGACTCCCCTTAACCCACCAGCCCCTCCCCCACCCAGGGCTCTACCTTCCCGCCCCCCCACCAGGAGGAGAAAGTTAAGGCCTGGGCCGTGACACCCCACAGGCCTGCAGTCACCCCACTGCTGCAACTCGACACAGACAGTGATGAGGAAAGCAGCTGGTTAGGGGTCCCTGGGGCGGGGTCCCCCAGAGATTCTGTGCCTTGGTTTCCCAGTTTTAATGACACAGTGGAGGTGGATGCCTGCGGTCACATTTCCACGGGGGCTTTTGCCAACGTGTGCTTCTTTTTTGTTTTTGTTTGTTTGTTTGTTTTTGGTTTTTTTGTTTTTGTTTTTGACAGGCAGAGTGGACAGTGAGAGAGTGAGAGAGTGAGAGTGAGAGAGAGAGAGAGAGAAAGGTCTTCCTTTTGCTGTTGGTTCACCCTCCAATGACCGCCGCGGCCGGCGCGCTGCGGCCAACACATCGGGCTGATCCGAAGCCAGGAGCCAGGTACTTCTCCTGGTCTCCCATGGGGTGCAGGGCCCAAGCACTTGGGCCATCCTCCACTGCACTCCCTGGCCACAGCAGAGAGCTGGCCTGGAAGAGGGGCATCCGGGACAGAATCCGGCGCCCCGATCAGGACTAGAACCCGGTTTGCCGGCGCCGCAAGGCGGAGGATTAGCCTAGTGAGCCGCGGCGCCGGCCCAACGTGTGCTTTTCTTAGCCCCAGGAAGACGGTCGGGGGTGCCTCCCTGAGCACGCTCCTCTGGCCAGGCCACTCCTAGTCTAAGCAGCCCCCAAGGGCTGCAGGACCACCACAGACCCAGGGACACTGGAGAGCTGCCCCCTCTCTGATGGTGCATAGGACTGTAGGGGTGCCCACTTCCTGGGGCCATGGTAAAGAGCAGAGGTTTGGTGGGGGGCCCAGCCTGTCCCACTGGCTCGGGGAGACCTGGGGAGACCAAGAGCCACAAGGGGCCCAGTCCTCGCTAGGGGCACAGGCAGTGCGCCACCTGGTGGCCGACCCAGAACTGGAGCTCCCAGAGCCTGTTTTCCTGTGAGCTACAAGGATTTGACTTCTCCCAGGGCTGCTATGAGGACGACCAGACGCGAAGGCTCAGCCCAGTGTCTGAACCCAGTCGCTGTGGGGTCCTGGGCTTACATAGGGGCGCTCTGCCATGGCTGCCTCGCAGGGTCAACAGCCTTGCAGTTCCGGCATGGTGCAGCAGGGGGCATACCTTCGCTCTTGGGGAGCAGGAGCCTTCACACCTACACCATATATACAACAGGCCAGCAGACTCTTTCAAAGTCTAAGATTTTAACGTTCACTTATCAAGTCACCCAATGAAAACAGTGAGCTTGACACAAAAATTGTGGGGGCCAGGAATCGAGCCCCTGTGCCATGAGCACCCCTGCTTCCGTGGGCTCCAGTGGTACCACCCTGCTGGACACTCTATGAAACTCTATGCAAAAAAGGACGCGGATGAGGCCGCGCCAGGCGCGCACTGAAGGTCTCTAACGAGGGGTGAGGTCTGACTGCTGGCGACTGGAGGGTGTGGATATTTTCTCATCCTTACTGTCAAATCTTTTCTGAGACAAACTGTGAATCAAACGTTTGTAAAACCGTGAGCCACCCCAGGGCTCCAGTGAGCAGCATGGGAATTGCTGGCCTCCTACCCAAAACCACCAGCCCCACCAACCATGCCCACGCTGCCCCCGCAGCTCCAGGGAAAGGGGGTCACCAGCCCCCCCCCCCCCCGCCACGGCTCCCACCTCCCACCTGGGTACTCCCCCCCCCCGCCCGCCAGACCCGGGCCCCTGGGGAGCAGGGTGTGGAGGGCTGGGGGGGCGGGGAAGGACTACGGAGCAGGGTGACAGAGGAGACCCTGGAGTGAGCTCAGGACGACAGCAGAATCCTCAGCTGTGGGTCACCAGGGCCAGGAGAGCGCAGGGCTCACAGGAGAAGCCCCTGACGCCCAAGCCCACCCCGGGGACGTGCCTCTCCCTCTCCCTCCAGCTGCTCTTCACCCTCCAGGTCACAGGGCCCACGGCTGCAGGGGGAGCCGGGTCTGGGGGGAGCTGCACTGGGACTGAGGTGTTGGGAGGGGCCGGGCTCCGGGGCTCCAAGCCCAGCCACGGTTTCCAGGAGAGCAGGAGGAACGGCGATTCCAGGAGGCCGAGGGGCGTCTCCTGGCTGCAGCGGTGGACGGCGGCGAGCAGTGACTCTTCCCAGACAGAACTTATCAAATTCCTGCCACCCAAGCAACTGGGAAATGGTTTCCTGCCCTGCCTGGGGGCTCCATGTCCTGTTTCTTCGTGGGGTGCAGGGAGGGGAGAGAGTTTGGCTCCCACTGTGTAGGGGGTGCAGGGTATGGCCAGAGCCTGCCCCTCACCTCCTGGGGCACAGGGAGCTCTCTTCTGTCTCGCAACCCCCTGCTACAGCCCTCCGCAGGGACAGGCTGCAGCCACACAGACACATGCATTAGCCATGGGTCTTGAGCAGAAACCCCCCAACCACAACAGCCGCCGACAGGGGCTGTCACCCAGGCCACAGGCGCCGAGTCCCCCCAATGCGGGGGTGCACGCGGTTCCCACGCGGCACTCATGTTCCCATGGTGGCGACGGCCACAGCCACGTCCTGCCATCCACAGACGGCTGGGCACAGGCATTCATTCAATCAGGAGTTTTTGTCCGGCAAGGATGCCCTCCCCCCACAGTAGCAGGCACAGCAGGGGTGCTCCCAGGTGCCCAGGGAGCCCCTGCGGAGGCTGCTGGGCACAAAGACCCCCCCCCCTCCAGGAGGTGGAGAGGCCAGGCCGGGGCGTGGGAAGTGGCTCATCCCACTCACAGGCAGGCAGCTTCAGGCTCACTCGCCGACCATGCTGCAGGACCCCCGCAGGATGACCAGACAGTCTGCGCCCACCGGCCCTGCGCCCGCATCCGCGCCCACCCTTGCTGCAGGGCTGGAGGAGGGGCTACGGGCCCCGGCGAGAGGCGAGGAGCCTGCGGCCCGCGGGCCCCATTAGCATTCAGGGAAGCGAGTGTGCCAACGCGGGCCAAACCCCTATTCTTCTCGCACACAAAACCCCCGGCCTGGCTGCCAGCCCCGTCTCCCTCCCCTCCCCCCAGCCAGCAGCCCCCCTCCCCCCAAACGGTTCCCTCGATCCCTGCGGCCTCCGGGCGTCCCCTCTCGGGCCCCACGCACGGTCCCATCTGCAGAGCGGTCCCTTGGAGAAGTGGGACGAGACGTAAGAGGGCCAGGGTCCCGGGGGGCGCGCCCGGCCGCCGCACCCGCTAGCTCCGGCCGCTCCGAAGGTGGCCTGCGCGCCTCCGGGCCCCGAGGGTGCTCCCTGGGACGCGAAGGCTGAGTGAGAGGAGGGTCCCGAAGTGGCCGAGTGTGGGGGGGCGGCAGAGCCCGAGGCCCCGAGGGGTGCGGGAGGATGGAGGTGAGAGGCGGAGACAAAGGGATGGAGGGGGCGCGGCCGAGGCGGGGGGCCCCAGCGCGGCGGGGAAGGGGTGCACCGACGGGGCGGGCGCGGGGCCCGGCTGCGCTGCGGGCTCCAGCTGCGCCGGGAACTCTGTTGCGAGCCCCGTCCGCGGTTTCTGACCCTGCGCTGGTCCGCTGGGCCCAGGAGGCGGACCCTGCGCTCCTGGGCCCCGGGTCTCCCCCCGGCGGCGCGCAGCGCCCGCGCGGGGAGCGGAGAGACAGCGACCGCCCGCTCCTCCCGGCTCCGCCTCAGCTGCCCCGGGATCCTCGGCTTCCCGGGGACCCAGGCCCTCCCTGCGCCCCGGTACCTGGCCCGAGGCAGGCAAGCGTGGGCAGGCGGCAGCGGCTGACGATGAGGTCCAGCGGGAAGGCGCCCATGCTCCAGCGCAGGCCGGCCAGCCCGGCCGCCAGCTTCTCCATGGCATGGGCGCGCCCGGGGCCGCCGTCCCGGGGCCCCGACGGCCAGTCCCGCGCGGCCGGGCTCCCGTGCCCGCCACCTCCCGGGGCCGCCGCGGCGCTCCCCCGAAGCCCGGCCGGGCGCGGCGTCACGTGCTCGGCCTCCCGCGGGCCCGGCGCCCGCCCCTCGCCCCACCCCCGCGGCGCCCGCCCGCGGCCGCGCCAGTCCCGCCCTGCCGGCCCGCGGCGCTCGCGAGCGCCCAGGTGACAGCCGGCGGCGCGGGTCCTGGGGCGCGGGCCTGCCGGGGCGGAGGGGCCCGGCCCGCTGTCCTCGTCGCGCCCGGGCGGGCCCCGGTGCGGCGGCCGCCTCTGGGACATTCACGATCCCATTCCGCCGAGGCCATGAAGCAATCAGGACTCGAACCGGGACCCACCAGGAATTCCCGGCCCGGTGGAGCTCTGCCAGGCCCCCGCGTCCCCGGCCGCCCCACGCGGCGCGCGGATGGGGAAAGTGAGGCTGGACGCGCCGCGGGTGCGGGGTCCTCTGGCTCGGGGCGCTCCGGGATCCCCGCCCTCCTCGGAACTCGCGCCTCCTTTCCCGCGCTGCCTCCCCTCGGGGATCCCTTCCGGAAGCCGCGGTCCCGCGGCGCGTGTGCGGCGCCCTCTGCGGGTAGCCCGGGCTGTCCTTGCGCGGTCCCGTGACCCGCACCCAGCAACGCACACCGCACCCCCTCTTCCAGGGGGAGTGGCGTCTGCCCTGATCCCCAGGGGAAGGGCTGGCGGGAGGCGCACCCCGCGCGGGCGGCAGGAGGTCGTGGGGCCGCGGGTCAAAGTGGGGCGCCGAAAGGAATCAGAGCTGTGGCCCGCGGGCCGCCTGCCGCACCCAGCCCTTCATCCCTGACCCGGCTCGAGCGCTCGGGGCTTGTACGGGCGGTGTCGGAATGAGGTCTTTCCCAGGGCAGTGGGAAGGAGAAGCTGCAGGACGGGAAAAGAGGGGGTGATTGTTAAGCAGCCACAGGGGTGCGCACTGCCCATC